CCAGAATCTCTTTCCTTGGATCCTCATTGGGGAGAACCAACAAGCTTGCAATTCCCAGATCTGCTGCTACATCACCATTTTGGTCCAAGTACAGTTTCAGATGAGAAAGATTATAAAACTCATTCTTCTCCAGAAATGGATGGAACTAGTTTTAAAAGCAGAAAACTTGGTTTCTTATCCCAAGGTGGCCTTTTCACATTTGAATCTTTCTTCTATAGTTGGCTAACTTGCAAATGGGGCATTGGTAGACTTACCAGTGAATACCCTTCCTAAACACGCTGCGATCGAGTCCAGCATTGAGTATAACTCCACCCTCTTATGATGTGAGCTGAGTCTGCCATCATAAAAGGTTCGCCTCTGCTGAGAGCCCCAGCTTCTCTGGTGAAGTATCTTGACAGACCAGGATAGTCTCTGGAATATAAAAAAACAGAATGTGCATACAACTTCCCCCCTAACTGAGAATAGTAGACCAGACGGCCACAGGGTGGGGCTGGACTCTATCGCAGTGTGTCTAGAAAGGGCGTTCACTGGTAAGTCTGCCAATGCCCCTTCTCCGTCACGCTGCTCTAGAGTCCAGCATTGGGACGTACCAAAGCCTGCATGCCCTAGGGAGGGACTCGGCTGGTCCTCTTAATCCGACCTAAGAACCACTCTCTGGAGTACCCTTCGTTCAAATGCAACCTGTTGCAGATGCAAAGTAATGCAGCCAGTAATGTCGGACGAACAGAGAAGGTGAGGTCCATGTAGCAGCTCTACAAATTTTTTCGATCAGAGCCTGCATGGCCCAAGCTGCTGAAGTCGCTGCGCTCCGGGTAGAGTGTGCAGTCAGTTTCTTGGGAGCTGGCAAGCCAAGAGTTTCATATGCAGTAGAAATGCATGCTCTGATCTACCTACTCAATATGGGAGATGAGGACTTAGACCCCAAGGAGACAGGTTGAAAAGACACAAACATTCACTCAGTTTTGCGAAAAGGTGCAGTTTGTTTGATATAAATTCTTTTCACGTCCAATGTGTGCCACTGACATTCCATTACATGTTGGGGTTGGGACAAAAGTCAGGGAGTACAATGTCTTGAACCCTGTGAAACCAAGAGTTGATTTTGGGTACAAATGAAGGGTCCAGATGCAAAACCACGCAGTTGTCATGAAACATACACAAATCTGGCCTTACCAAAAGGGCAGCTAATTCAGACACCCTCCTAGCTGATGTAATAGCCACCAAGAAGGATACCTTCAGAGTTAAAATACGGAGACCTACCATTCATAAAGGCTCAAAAGGAGAGCTTGGAGAACCTTAGGCAAGTCCCAAGTGGAATACCTATGCACAATGGGTGGTCACAGTTTGAGGCTCCCCTCAGAAATCTGTGGATTGAAGGGTGGTGGGAGAGGGATGTGTACCTGTGGATTGAAGGGTGGTGGGAGAGGGATGTGTACCTGTCCCATGAAATTACCAAAACTAAGGCCGCCACCCGTCTGCGGATGGTGCTGGCACAAGGCCCTTGTCCAGCCTGTCCTAGAGAAGCTGAAGGATCTCCAGAACAGAAGCTGAAGAGGGGTTCTGGGCTCTCTCTGAGCACCAGTCACTGAATTTCCTCCAGGTGTCCAGTTGTAGACTTTTTAGGTGAAGCCTGTATTGTATTAATTACAATATCTGAAAGGTTGGCCTCCTTCAAGAAATTCCACTCAACCACCAAGAGGTCAACTGGAACCATTGGGGTTCCGGATGCAGAAGGCCCCCCTGATTGAGAGAGATCCGAGAGGCTGGGATTTTCCAAGGCCTCTGAACAGACAGGTTCACCAGGTCCACAAACCAGGGTCTCCTGGGCCAATATGGGGCTAGTGGAATCAGCTCTGTCTTTTCCTCCAACATCTTCCGGATAACTGCCGGGAAGTTTGGAAGGGTGGGGAAGGCATAGAGGAGACCTGGGGGCCACCTGCTCCAAAGTGCATTGGTCCCCTCCACTCCTTGGGTTAGGAACCTGGAGAAAAACCTGTTTACCTGTGCATTCTGGGTAATGGCAAAGAGGACCACCTCTGGAGTTCCAAAAATATGGGACAATTCTATGAACAGGGAGGATGGAGTCTCCATTCCGAGTGGTTGACTTGAAGTCGACTCAACCAGTCTGCCTGGGAGATGTCAACCCCCGAAATATGGTCCACCCTGAGAGACAGGAGGTTCCTCTCTTCCCATCTCCCCAGATGTTCCACCTCCCACATCAAAACCCTGGATCTGGTCCCTCCTTGCCTGTTGACATGAGCCTTGGCTGCTATATTGTCTGTCTTGATGAGCACATGGGACCCTGACACTAGGTTCTGGGAATTTCTCAGGGTGAGAAAAATATCCCTGAGTTCCAGGAGATTGATGGGAAGGGACCTGTCTGAAGATGGCCAGTGTGCTTGGGCCATCTGGTCTGGGCATGTGCTCCCCAGCTGTGAAGGCTGGCATCTGCAGTCACTACAATTCTACTTCTCATCATAAAGGGACTGCCTTTGTGATGGCCTGGGACTGCCACCATCAAAAGGACCGAAGCACCTGTGGAGAAAGCAGCACCCTGCAGGCAGAATGACTGATCCCCTCTCTTTGGAAGGGGAGGAGGAACCACTGCAAGGTGTGTGCGTATAGGTGTGCCCATTGCACAATTTCAATGCAGGAGATCATCTTCCCAAGCAACTGGGACAGGAGAGAGAGTAGAACGGAGCAACTTAGTTGAATTCTGTTGATCAACTCTTTGATGCTGTCCTGTCAGTCCTGTGAAAGGAAGACTTCACAGCTGACTGGGTCGATGATGACCCCGAGGTGCAACAGTCAGGTCATTGGAGAAAGATGGCTCTTGATCAGGTTGATGGAGAAACTATGTTCCTGCAACACCTGCATCATGATTTGAAGATCTCATTCGGCCGCCTGGATGGAGGTAGATTGAATCAGAATGTTGTCTAGGTAGCAGGTAAGGCTCAGAGGAGGGCTGCCAATGCTGCCAGGACCTTAGTAAAACCCCTTGGTGCCAATGAAAGGCCAAATTGTAGGGCCCAGTATTGGTAGTGCTCACTGCACTAAGTAAAATGGAGGAAATGGCGATGGGGAGGCCAAATTGGGATACATTGCGGAACCTGACTGAAAAGTACAATGTAAAGTAGTTTATCTCTTTTTTAGGGAATTATTATTACTATAACTAATGAAAATAAATGTTTAATCGAGGGAATTAAGGTATATTTAAACCACTGAGGTGACACCCCCAAATTAGTAAAAGGGAAGGGGAAATTTATGTTTTATTTTGCATGTAAAAGCTTATATTAATTTAGACTTTAAGGAAAGAATATGAGATGGAATTGCAAATTTGTCAGACAAAAGAATTAAAAGGGAATAAGTATAAAGATATGGGAATTATTTGTGACTTAAATGAGAAAAGAGTACTTTGGAAAAGGCCACGCTTAAAAGAAATGTTAATGCTTAAGAAATATATTTGAAATAAATTAAAATGAACTGAGAAGAAGTTTAAAATCAAAGTAATATTAATGAATAGGATTAATTTGTTTGTTCCTTTTCTTATGAAAAAGTTGAAATGGACAGGTAAAATGAGAAAAGAATACATTGGAAAAGGCCATACCCAAAAGGAAAATATATTTGAAATAAATTGAAATGAATTGAAAAGATGTTTAGAATGAAAGTAATAATAATGAATAGAATTAATTTGTTTGAAAATTGAAATTGAGAGGTAATAATAGAATTGTTAAAAATGGATAAGATAGGAAGTTGAATGTAAAATTGAATATATAATTACTGTCATATTTGCATGTAAAAGTGGTGATTCAGAATTATGTTGTACACCGAAAAGAGCTCTTTTTTACTTTGTTTTGGAAAAATTGAATAAAACTTGTTCAAAAAAAAAAAGCTAAATTTGCTCTGATTTTATAAATGTAACAGCAAATCAGTCAATTTAAAGGTTATGTGTGAGAGCAATAGGCCTAATTATAGGCTTGGGTGTTTCTTAAATCAGATTCTTCAATGAAGCATGTTCACGGGCTGGGTATCATCAATCACATTATCCAGTGAAGGATTTTCATGGGCAGAAGATCTGGTAGCCTAGCTACAATCATTGTAAGAAAAGTGTGGAATGTACTTCTGGTTTTAAACTGCCCTACTGCTCCTTCAGATATCCTCCCCCACACACACACATTTATGACAACTCAAAAATAAGCATAAGAATGTTTTACAAATTGAAAGAGAGCTTCCAATTTGGGGAACAGAGAATCATGTGGGATTTTCTTGTGGGGGGCGGGAATAAGGCACCAATCTGGTTTCAGGCTCTTTTCTTCTTTGTTTCTGGAATCAGCTCTTTGCAGAGTGTTGAGCCTCCTCGATACTGTTTGGCAGTGTGTGTCAGGTCTGACATCTTCAGCTAGGAGGGAGGGAACATGTGGGGAATAAATGGGCAATAAACCTGTGTGGGTAAGTGATGGGAAATGGGGAGGGGGAAATGACAGATTGATAAAGAACACAGAAGCTCAGAACTAGTTTGTGCCAGCACTCAAGGCCATCTACCCTGAGAAAGAATGTGGATTACCCCAAACATCTCAGTATTCTCAAAACACCTACATGAATCTTCATTGGTTGAAGATGGACTGGTCATGGGGAGAAGCATTTTCTATTTTTTTTACATGGGAAACTTAGTTCTAGCCTGATTTTCCCGCAACTAGTATCCATTAGTAAAACAACCTATCACTTCAACCAAATTGAATTGAGGGTCTTTCTTTCCTAAGGGATCTACCTGGAGGCAGATCTGACAATGGGTCATTTTGTTGGGACATGCCCAGATATAGTTTTGGGAGATTGATGACTCAACAGCACAATCATGGAACTCTAAATTTCATTATTCTTATATCAATAATTTTAATTCCTTCAGTTTAAAATGACCTTGTCAGAATAAAAAGAAGCATACAAATTTACCAATAATTATTGCAATAAAGCATTAAATATTATGAGCCTAAGAAACAATTTCACTATCAATTCCCTACTTTTATCATTAGCTGCTCCTTAGTGTTTAGATCTGGTCTTAGGATGATAATGTAGCACTTGGGGAAGAAGATGCAGCCCAGCAACCCAGCACTGGAGGCCAAGATGGAGAAGATCTGCACAGCTACCATGTATTTCCCTTTGGTGCTCAGGTAGGTGGGCAGGAAGGAGACCCAAACACTGCAGAAGACTAGCATGCTGAAGGTGATCAGCTTGGCTTCATTGAAGGCCCCTGGCAGGTTTCTGGCTAAGAAAGCCACCAAGAAGCAGATGGCAGCTAGGAAACCCAGGTAGCTGAGGACAACATAAAACATGGTAACAGATCCTTCATTGCACTGAAGGACAATCTCTCGAGGCTGGGAGTGCAGGTCAGAGTCAGGGAATGGGGGTGAAACTCCCAGCCAGATGGAGCAAATGGTAATTTGGACAATAGAACAAGAAAGGATGATGGAGTTGGCCAAACTCTTCCCCAACCATCTCTTAACTTGGTTTCCTGGTTTTGTGGCCAGGAAAGCCAGAACCACTGTGATTGTTTTGGCCAAGAGTGAAGAAATTGCAACTGAGAAGACAATGCTGAACATTGTTTGTCGTAGAAGGCAAGTGGCTTTTTTTGGTTGACCAATGAAGAGAAAAGGAGACAAGAAGCAAAACAAGAGGGAGATCAAAAGGATGTAGGAAAGATCGCGGTTGTTGGCTTTGACAATGGGAGTTTCTAAGTATTTAATAAATATGATAAAAATGAAGCCTGTGGTTAGGAACAAGAATAGGGAAAAGGAGATGAGGATAATACTCAAATGTTCTTCATAGGACAGGAAGGATATTCTTTTGGGAATACATTTGACTTGGTTCTCATTTGGATATTGATCATCTGGGCATCTAGTGCATTTTTCAGTATCTGAGAAAATAGAAAGTAATGTTTCTTATGTAGACTTTTCTTTCATATTTGAAGATAGACCTTCTTTTATGATAGGTCATAATGAGAGACCAGAAAGCCATTGTAAATGTTAAATAGGAACTCATACTTACACATATACATACAAGAAAAACATACACATATACAATAAGAAAAATGAAATCCAACCCCCCAAATACCTGTCACTATAGCTTCCCTTCACCAAGATCACTACATCTTTGACCTCACCTTATCCCAACACCTGGGAGATTAACTGTTTCTCTGCAAAGTAGAAAAGTAGGGCTCTGTCTTATCTCAGCAGGTGGGGTTTCTATAGGACAGGGGCTTCAACAGAAAAGGCAGACTTCCAAACACCCACAAAGTGGCAAAGTTTTAAGGAATGAACCTGGAGCATGCCTATCATAGATGGACAATGGAATGATAGGATGAACAACAAATAACTTCAAGAAGAGGGGGTTCCATGGAAACCCTGGTCCTAAGCCATGTCGGGTTTTAAAAGTAAATTTAATTGCACTTGGGAAGAAACTGGGAAGCTTTGCAGCTTGCACATAAGGGGCATGAATGTATTCTGCCACATAAAGTGGCAGAATGTAGGGGAACTCTACCCGGTGCATGATATTGCATTCTGAAGCATTTGTAAATTCAAGGTAGTCTTCATTATCAACCCCATGTAGAGAACATTTCAGTAATTCAAACAGGAAGTGATCAAGGCATGAGCAAGACCTTCAATCCAGGAAAGGGAACAGTTGGTAGCTGTGAGTCTAGGAGAGCCCCCCCCCCCAACATTATGCACCACCTCCATCCTAGGAAGTGCCACCTTACTAGAGTAACATATGGATTTGATTTATATGTTAATATCTAAGGAATTATCTAAGGCAGGGGTGTCAAATTCAAGGCCTGTGGGGCAGATCCATGTGTGGCCCTCCAGAGCTCCATTATTGCCAGCAGAGGGCTATCAAAACAAACTAAAAGCAAAACAAAACAAAAGGAGACATTTGAGCATGCAAGAAGGGACAGGAAAGGAGAAAGGGAAAGAGGAAAGACAAAGAAAAAGCAGAGAAGATGGGAAGAGAGCAAGGAAGAAAACAGAAGGAAAAGGGAGAAGGAAGAAGAAAGGAGAATGAAAAGGAAAGAAAAAAGAGAAGGAAGGAAGGAAGGAAGGAAGGAAGGAAGGAAGGAAGGAAGGAAGGAAGGAAGGAAGGAAGGAAGGAAGAAGCTTATAATGAGAGGGGATGGAGGTCCTGAGGGAAGTTTTGCCTTAGCGTTTGGCCACCACAGGTGCACCAGATACAAGTGATGTTGAGCTGGCCATGCCCACTCTGCCCCCCTCAGGTCAAACACAACCCTGATGTCGCCCTCAATGAAATCGAGTTTGACACACCTGATCTAAGACATCTCAGGTAGTCAAATATTTAAGGTAGTAGAAATATGATAAAAGAATACCTCAGACAGGATTCCAGGTTACATTCAGAACTGTTGTGCTTAATTCAGAATTAATTAATACAGAAACTCTATTTTGAAGTGGCTCTCCTTATTTTTAATTTTAAGAAAATAGTATTTTTTATATTTATTTGATTTGTCAATCGCTTACAAGATATAAGGTATAAGAATAAATATAGTTTTGAATACATGAGATAGATACTTATAAAACTATATTTATTTATTATTATATTTATGTATTCATGTATTCAATATATGTAATGTAATATAATATAATATAATATAATATAATATAATATAATATAATATAATATAATATAATATAATATAAT